TACACTGCTTTTTATCTGCAAATAATTAAGCAAAAACTAGACAAATTCCAATTAAAAATATTATGAATAAAAATAATGGATTTGTTTAATTAAAGCTTAAATATTTTAATATTATATAAATCAAAAGCAATATTTATGGTGCATTTTCATGCACTAATCAGCTCGGCTCGGCTAGTTGGTGGGCTGATGGGTTTTGGGCCGAATTGGGCTTTTCTTGGGCTCAACTTTTGGGTTTTGCTTGGTAAACTGGCCCAAATTCAATTGTTTTCTTCAAAAACCTGAAAAATAAAATAAATCCAATTAAAATTAAATCCTCTTAATTTAGGAATATTTGAAATTAAAATCACAAAATTGATAAAATAGTTTGACAATTATGAACATTAAAAGTGCAAATTCGTGCACTTATCAGGGACGTTCCCCTCGTCGTCAGTGGTTGTTTAACCTTTCTCGCCCTTTCCAGTGATCTCTTCTGCAGTCGAGGGATCTTGTCGTGCCGACCCAGGCGAAATCAACCGTCGACGCCTCATAGGGGCGACGGCCCTAATTATGGACTTCATCTTCGGGTTCTATAGCTGATCTTGAGGGAAACGAAGCGTCGAGGGTTGGGTGCTCGGCGAAAAGTAAGTATAGCCACGTGTCGTGGCACCGTCGGTCCAGGTGTCCATCACATTTTCCCACACAATAGTAATTAAGAAATAATTGGTTTTTAACGCGATTAGCAGTAGTCATAGAGTTACAATCTGGTCTTCATGATCGATCGTGATGCTCAATCATTTCCTGAAATTATTTTTAATAATGATTCCTGTATATGATCAGATTAGCTACAAAACAACGTTCATGTAACACGCGCAGGCTCCATGTTTTTATGGCAAAAACATTGAACTAATAATCATTCCTTACAGAAAGATTTTTTTCCCCCCTTACAGATAGGGTAATAGTCTTGTTTTTGTAATAATAAATAACTTCGTAATTGAATTATATTTTAAATTTGATAGAAATTATCGTCTGAAAATTTCTTAATTTAATTCTTATAAATAGAGGGTTAATTCCCTAAAAAAGAAATTAAAAGGCTCTCGTTTTCAAAATTTTTGGATATTTATTTTTAAAGATAAAAGGGATTTTTTGAAGGATTTTTGAGGAAACAGAGAAACAAAATGCTAATTTTTTTTTATTATTTTTATTAGAGTAAAATATGACTCGTTTAGTTTGATGATTCGAGTTTTTAATTCGAGTTGAGATGTAATTTTATGTGAAAATTTTTTATTGTAGCAAAAAAGTTAAACGTGACTGTTTTTGAAAACTTTTTATTATAATAAAACTTAAATTTTAAATTCGAATCAGTGAAGTGAATGAGATCTTAATTGAAGTGTGTGTGGTTAATTACCCTCATTTCTCAAAGCTAAAAAGGTATTTTGAATCGAAAATGATATTAGGCTCCATTTCCTTACCGCTTCGGACAGCTCCGCAGGGATGATGTGATTGATGGGCTGATGGCATTAGGTTTGATTGGGCCGATAAAAAGGCCTTAGTTGGGGTTGAGTGCAATGAGTAATGTGGGCTTTGTGATGAAGCCGGAAATCCAACCGAATGGGGTCCTGCGACAGGGGTTGTCGTCAACCTCCATGGCATCAAGAGACAAGATTCAAGGAAATGAAGGGAATTAGGGCAAAGGAAATCCATGGAAGAATCAGGTGGTGAAGTGGGAGTGGCGGTGAGAGAATATATAAAGAAGGAAGTTGGCGACTGGGACGACGATTTGGCAGCCAGGTCTCGCTTCAAGGCATTCAGCGGCCAATTCTCCGACTGGGAATCCACTTTCCTTTTCTGGCGTCACTTGATTCTCCACGTCTCTGGCCATTTCCAATTTCTCTTCATCCGACCTTCTCAGGTTTCTTTCTTTAATTCCTAAACCGAATTGAATCCATTCTTCGAAAGATCTCATCAGTGCTTCTTTTTCAGCTGAAGAAGGATTGGTTCAATCGAGGGGGGTTGAGCCCTTTATGCCTTGAGCAGGTGCTGTCTCTGATGCACAAGGAACGTGACATTCTGCCAACTCACCACCTGGTTGATCCACGGGCAGGCCGCCTCTCTCACATTCTCACTAAATTAACAAACTTGTTCTTTACGACAACAAATACGAGTTATGAGAATGATGTTTTCATAGTAATGCCGGTGTTGAAGGAGAAAGCAGCCCGACTGCTTAAGCTCTTAGCTGACGAAAATCTTTCTCCATCTTCTACTTGTGTGATTACCATCAACAGATTTGAGCATATTTCTGCTTCACCCCAAGAAGCGTCCGCTATTTTGAGTTACTTGTCATCACAATCCCAAGCTCGCTTTCTCTCCCTCTCTCTCAACAGGAACACGCCACACATTATTCAGGTCCGATTCGAGTTTTCAATTCTGAGATGTAATTTTTACCAGAGTTTTTTACTGCAGCAACTGGGAATTGAAAACTCGAATAATTCCACTTCAAATCTCTTTTTCATTACTCCCCTCAACTCTTTTTTTTTTTTAATCAAATTATCGATTGTTTTTGTTTTCTTTCAAATTCAGGGCGTTAAAGTCTCCCTTTCAACATCACCTGTTACGAGTGTTTCAAGTTTGGACTGCGATGTTCTTCACTTGATTTCAACGACAGAAACTCTTGAGCAACAGCTTGCTGTCATTGACAAACGTTGTCAAAGGTAACACAACTCAAACAAACAAACAGACAAATGTAGTAAATAGTAATGTTGATTCATTGTTGTCAAATGAATTCAACTCAATCACTCTGTTCTTCCTTTTGTGCTCCCTTTGTCAAAACTTAAAAACTGTATTCTCTCTCTCTCTCCAGCTCGAAAAAGGCAGCCATGGCTTCATTGGCTTCTGGAAACAAAAATGTGGCCTTGAGGCATTTGAGGACTTTCAAATTGGTCGATAAGAGTAGAGAAAAATGTGCTTCTCTTTTGAGTAGAGTGGAGGAAGTCCTCCTCCTCATTTCGAATGCTGAATCCACTAAGAAGGTAAACTCATCATCAGGAAGACCTTTTCTAATTCATTCCCTTTAACTCCACTCTATTATTATCGTCTACTTAAATCTTGTAACCCTAGCTAGCTTAATAAATTTTAATGTAGGAGTGAATTTGATGCGTTGGTTTAAAATTAGTTTACCTTACCTTAGTTAAATGAATCATTTGGCCTTGTTGGTAGGTTTCTGAAGCCATTCAAATTGGAGCTCAAGCAATTAAGGAAAATAACATCAGTGTCAAAGAAGTCGAACACAGTTTACAACAACTCGAGGAGAGCGTTGATTTACAAAAGCAAGTAGAATATGCTTTAGGTAAAAAATTCACTCTTTCCATCACTTCTTCTTTCCCAATACAAGTCGTCCTCTTGCATCTAAACTCTATTTTTGGACTTCACAGAATCAACTCCTTCATATACATCTGTTGACAATGAAGATATCGAAGAGGAGTTTAAGAAATTAGAGCTGGAAATTGGTTGTGTGAACAACTCTCATCAACCAATTCATGAAGCTGAGGCTCAAGCTACGGCCGCAGAAGCAACGGCTTTGGACTCTGCTGAGTCATTGAGCGAGGCTTTTTCAAATCTCAAAGTCGTGGATGTCCTGTCAAGTACGGCTGCAGCACGGGACATTGCTGCAAAAGAAACAAAAGATCTTGAGCTTGAACGTGCTTAGCTACAATTCATAGAATCGAAATTGTAATTAAGATATATGATGTGTCTACTTAGTCATTCTTTAGTGCATATATGTAAAGGTTTGGAACTTTTGATGTCATTGTATCAGCAAGGTTTAGGAGTGGATTTTTTTTTTTCTCCCCCTTTTTGCTATTACTTTTTTCAAATGTGACAAGCCCTTGAACTTGTCAAAGTTGTTAGTTAGAGATGCGATTTACCTGTGCTGCAACTACTCTGTAAGACTTGAAAAGAAAAGTAGAATTTCGAATGGATCCGTATTGATTGCCTTCTGTTCTTCTCCACACAAAATGCGCCTCGGTTTTGATGCTTTGTAGTCCCGCTTTGAGGTCTGAGCATGGATTATGCAAAATTGGACTTGTAGTAGCGGGATTGAAAACTTTTAGTCCGTCTTTTGTGTGGAGTTTTTTTCAGGTTTCCCCCCACCCCCTTAATAGGTGGCCCCGAGATTTCTCAAGGAGGGATAAGAGTTGATGGTATGAATGATCTTCCTTTTCCTTTAGCCAAAAAAATTAGGATTGAATGGGTTGCGGTGATCAGGATTAAGGTGAGTCGGGTTTGAGTTGTTGGAAGTGGACAAGGATAGGGGGATGGAGGGTGGTACGAGTGGTAGCGAAGTCGCCATGTTGATAGGAACAAAAGTAGCAGCAGCAGCAGCGGTAGGTGGGAAGGCAAGCATTTGAAATGTGGAAGGCGGCATAGCAAATGTGGTTCTCAAATGTGGATGTGGTGGTGCTCCGTTGCCGGCTGCTAACATGATTGGATTTGGAGGCATTACTCCCGTGGCTGTTCCCATTGACATCATCTGCTTCACAACAGTAGGTAGCACCACCATTATATGGAATCTAAAATGAACAAAATTCATCCAATGATATATAAACAGAATATCTACATGAACTAGTAATAGTATACATTAATTTGTACCTGCAACTGAAGCTGAAGTGTCCTCATGTATGCGATGGCCTCGTCCAGTATTGAAGCTTTTTTTACCTGCAGCTTTCAGAGTTAGCACACGCGACAGGACAGGATTAAGCAACTAACTAAAGACTTCTCTCGCTCAACTCTTTAGTTCTATAATCGGAAGATGATATATAATTAAAGACAAATACATATTTGTTAATATTTTTATGTACCTTGTTGCAGTTGGGTATGAGCGCTTGTAAGGCGCGCATCTTCTTGTTGATCTTATCTCTTCGCCTCTGATCAATGACATTACCGAATATATACGAGCTTGTTAGTAAATATTACAGGATATACACGTAGATATATATGGATTAAAAGGAATTAGTGAATCGATCAAGGGTAGTAAAAATAGCGACCCTTTCGGACAAATTATGGAGCGCAGTAGCTGGGGCTTTTCTCTTGGCAGCTCTGGAAGTAGGTGGCGCTTTGTTGGAAGTGGAAGGTGGAAGACGTAATTGAGGTTCTTCTCCAACGCTCTGCAGTGAAATTTTGAATTTTATTAATATTCCACGATACTTGAATGTTAATTTTGGAACATTAAAAATCTGTCTACTTACTTTATTACATGGACATGGTTCTGAGTCGTCTTGGTGATTGGTGTTAATTGGATCATTTGAGCAGACCGAAAATGATGGAACGAGTGCTTCGTCGCACTTGTCATTTGGTGATTCTGCAGCAGAATGCTTTTGTTTAGAGTTAATAGAGGCCAAGGGATCCGCGGCTTGAGAGTGCTGATCATCATCACCATCATCATTAGTAGGCACAAGCAGTAGTACTGTTTGGTTGTCATGATCATCATCAGGAGGAGGAGGAGGAGGAGATTTGACACCAGCACTAGTATAATAATTAGTACCAATTGTTATTGGTTTTGGTAGAGGTAGGGAATTCATACTAGTAGTATAATTAGCGCTAGTAGTGGCAACCACAGCAGGCCTTCCATCAAGAAGCTGATGATTGGGTGATGTTGAGAATTCGGTGGTCGTCACGAAGTTGAGCAATCCACTTGCACTTGCACGCCTCCTAGTACTACTGCCACGCCTACTTGTGGCTTTACTACTACTACTACTACTACTAGTACCTCTCTTGATCTTACAATTATTGTTATATTCGCCAATCCGATCACCATCATCATCAATATTTACATGATTAGATGATCTACAACGTGAATAATATGGGACCTGCCTTGAATTTACATGATCATGATCATGATATGATGATCTTACAACTGGCGGTCCAACGGCCTGCTGCAGCTTGGTCGTCCTGGGCATAATTTTCTCAACATGATCATGATCATCAGTGGTACTAAGATAATGCCCTAACACTTGTGAATATTTATGAAAATGATCAGGATGTTGCTGATCATAGTCGTTGTCTGGAACAATGTGGGAATCTCCAGGAACTGGACCAAGAGGCGTTTTGAGCTGACTTAGTTTCTTAAATTTGTTAACGTATTTGTCGTCTTTAAAGGTGTTGCGATGTGCGGAAACCACGAACCGTTCATGATGATGACGATGATCAGGGAATAAGCCGAAATGGAGATAATTTTTGTGAGGAGGATTTGTAGTAGGATTAGTGGAAGTGGCAGCTAGTAAGTAGTTGGGTGTGTTGTTCATTTGGGTGGAATTTGGTATTGTGGTTGTAGGACGTCGGATGGCAATCTCATCCTTCTTCCATACCAGCTCCACTGGCACTAACCCATCCATCTGCCTCTGCCTCTTCCTGCATTATTTATCTATTCTCATTAATCCACCAGCTGCTTTAACTAGCTAGCTATAAGTGTGTATATATGTGTATATACATACATATATATATATATATGTATGTGTGTGTGTGTGTGTGTGTGTGTATAAACCACAGTTATATTATTATCATGTATATTATGCCTTCAACCGAAAACAAAAATAGAATTACATGGAGGATTCGAGATTAAACGTCGAACTTCTCTTCATCCCTTAGTAAGTAATTGAGAGGATTCAGCGAGCATGATCTGATATTGGGCTAAGAAGAAAGAACTATTTAAGAAGAAGACGAAGAAGAAGTATTTAATAAGAAGAAGAAGAAGAAGAAGGAGATATAGGATGGGATTCCTCCGGATAATTAGGTCAAATACTGGGAGCTCCACACGTATATATGGGGATTTTATTTATAACAGACAAAACCTAGGCAGGAAGCTGGATTAATATATTACATTAGATATAGATATATAATCTATTAATTTCTTCTAGAAAAAGTAGAAAGTTGAGAGTCCAAACACACACACAAACACAAAGACAAGCACTAGAGCATCTGTCATAGTCAAGTCATGTCCTCCTAACAGATTCCTCCGTTGCCAATGCCATTAATTCGGGCCATTACCCATTTGTTGTGTTGTGCTGAACCACGCGTACGCCTGCTCAATCAAACCTCCTCGCACTAATTGCTTTTATCATGATCGTGTGGCTTGCAGAGTTACATGTATCCCATAATTTCACGCTTTGGACCACCTTACTTGAACTTCTTATATCGGCTACCTTATACTTGGGACCAGGCAGGATGCGGGACCTATTTACTTTTCCTTTTTCCTTCTATCTATTTCTATATATTACTTTTCCTTTTTTTCCTTCTATCTATTTCTATATATATATATATATACACACGAAAAAAAAAAAAAAGGGATCAGTCCATCATTTTATAAAATTAAAAAATATATATTTTTATTAATTTTAGTTTATTACTAATTAACTTAGTGGTGTCTTTTATAAGCCAACTTGTGCCGGATCAATTGGTAAGGTAGGATGAGTTACGAGAGAGATCCCACACTCAAATTTTGGAAACAGTTTGCAATATAAAAAAAAAACAAAAAACAAAAAGAAAGAAAGAAAAGAAAACTAATGAATAAATGTCATTCTATACCCTATTGGTGGTCCAAAATCCAAATATCATAATATGAAGTTGAAGGTAATCGCTCAAAGATCGATGCTAGCTGCTACGGCTACATCGGATAGCAGCGCGAGATGTTATTAGGACTTAGGAGCTATTGCCATGTGGAGTCCATGGTTGCATAATTGTGCTTGGAAACTAGTTGGGCTGTGCTGTTATCTTCTGTAGGGTCCAAATAAGTATGGAGCCCACTCAAAAAATAAAAAAATAAAAAAAAAGGAAGAAAAACGATCTCAAAGGATGGATACTCACGTGGTCCGTGAGCCCCACATCATCTGAAAACTCGGAATTCTTACAAAAGGCAATGCCACCTCCTCCTCCTCCTTGTGGTTGTGATTGACACTTGTGGGCCCACACCTCACCTCAAACACCCAATCGCAGGCGCAGCAACAGAAACACGCAAGAAAAAGCTTGCCCTTCACGTGCTTCTCCCGTGGAATTCAGGTGCTCCTGTCTCTCCTTTCATGTTCTTCTTTACCCCCAGAAAACAACACCACCCAAGGCAACGGACAACGACTCGACCTGGATTTCCCCAATCCACAATCTCTTTATGAAAACGACTGGTGGGATTCTCTATTGCCAAGCGCACCAAATTCAAATTCTATTCCTTCTATCTCTATACGAATTTGAATCGAATTGATATCAATATGGTCTAGACCCAACTGGTGCATATTCTTCTGGAGACACTTGAAATTCCATAACCAATTAACTGCCATCCAAATGTAGAAATCCCAACACTTTTACGTGTCGCGTTTTTTCAGACTCCACACAAATAATATTCTCAACGTAGGCACTGTACCAGCCATTACTTAAAAAATGAGGTCGAGATTCACAAAGACCGAAAGTGAACGTTCGACTATTGACCCTATCCAATCCAATCCAATCCATGTACGTACCCCCAGTGCCTTTGGACAGTATAAAAGAAATAGCCCAATCCAAAAGAAGGAGAAAAAAACAATGGAAAGATAAATCAACAGTAACTGCTTGCTTCTGGACAAGCAATAGCAAATGCATATGAAATCATATGATCAAGTTATCAACATCATAGAACAATAAGATTCCAAATTGTAGAGTTGGCCCTGTCCTCACAATTATTAGTATAATCAAGAAGAAACAAAGGAGAGAAGAGGAGGAAGAAGAAGATAATGCTCAAAGCAGTTTAGGTCTAAAATGCAAGAGGTTACTAATCTCCTTTAAAGTCGAGATTTAAGCGCGTTCATAGCTTCCTGGTTCAGCCGTCATGACTCGTGTCTAATTCTCCTTCAAACACAAAGCTAAAATTTGCTTTAACTGAAGCATCTTTCCCCGCGCCAACTGCAAATGAATTGGGACAACTACACAAATTATGCACTGGGATAATTGCAGAAACTCGAATTCAAATGCTTGAGCTAAGTGGGACTATGAGAAAATAATATCATAAGAAAGATGAAGAGGATCTAATTCCAAAACAAAACTTGTCTTGTGAGCAAGGCTCTATGAAGTGAGGTTGAAATTAATATTCCACCCTCTAACAGCACATAGGAAACAAAGAAAGACTAATTAAAACCTTTTTTTTTTTTTTTTCCGAATTAATATAAGTGACAAACTTGCCTCATGGGTTGCCGTGATTTTCCTTTGGGCGTCATTTAGTGTGGTCTCAATTGCCCCTTCCACTTGCAAGAGAAGCTTTTGATGTGATGTTTCTGTATATTATAATTTAAAAGAACCAGTATTAAGTAGAGCATACACGAGTACGTCATAAGAACCCTTTTTTTTTTCTCCTTCTCTTAAATAAGTAAGAGAAAAATAATGCAATATTTGTTTACCATGACAATGCACATAATTTAATGACTGCATGATACAATTTAGTCATAAAAGCAGTAGAATCACTGGCTAAATATTCCACGATCGTAAGTAGTAATTTAAAATAATAATAAATAAATATAGACGTGCAACAAGATTTTAGCAATATGATCATAGTTTAGCTCACTACGCATATACTTATAGACCAAAAAAATTTAGATAGCGTCTATTTATGTATGTGCGTGTGCGTGTGTGAAGCAACCAAAGAAAGAAAGAAGCCACAAAAGTTGACTCACTTCGCTTTTCCAGAGTTCCTTTAAACTCTAACTCGTCCGCTTCGGGCCCTTCAAACGTGCTTTTGCAATCTTGCAGATGTTCATTGACCTGTTCCTTGAACGTTTCATATATCAGTCGTAATTTGTCTTGTTGCTCTGCAAAACAGGGGATTAAAATAATTAAATACCTGGTTAATCTTCAACGACAGCAAAAATATCATACGTAGATGGATGCGTGCGAAAATTCAATGTTTTAATTGCATGGCCCACAAAGCCTTCAAAAAATATAAACCTTTTAGTGGGGATGCTGAGAAATCACTCAACAAGATTTGACATTGCATATCAAAATGCATTCTTCAATGACATTGCATTATTTGTCTTGGTTAGCAGTGACTGATTATAGAAGGAAATACTAATTCAGTCAATGCATATGTATTTTTCTGCTCCATTCATTAGCCATTATATAAGCAACAGTTATCAATTTAACTCATGTATCGTGAAAAATATCTCAAGATTGTACTATTTTTACTAGTAAAAGTTATTGCCTCTCATAAACCTTAGGAACCAATGGAGAGCGTCTATAGCTGATCTCGTGTCAGTAAACTGTTAGATCATCCATTAAATAAATAAATAAATAAATAAATCCAAAGGCGCACTGATTTAGAAAAGTGTACAAACTAGACCGAGAAACTATATTACCTTCAAATCTCGTTTTCATCCTTTTTCGCTTTAATGTACTGAGGTTTTTTAGCTTCCCCCTGAAAGATCACAAAGAAAGTACCTCAGGAATTGTAAGTATTGGTGCTATTATTTCGGCTACAAAGATTAGGTTGCAATTCCTTACATGTCTGTTTGAATTTGGGACTCCACATTCTGCAATTTCAGATGTACATCTTGGCCAACAGACATCAGAATTTCGGAGGACTTTTTGCTAGTCGCCAATTTAATTTTGCTTTTAAGTTTTTCTAATTCCAATGCGAACTGTTCAACAGCCCTTGCGAAGTGAAACATTGAAAAGCACAAACACAACGTCAAAACAAAAATTACTAGGTATTCCTTATCAAATTGACGGAGAAGAAAACAAGGTAAAACCTAGTTAGTCCATCCACTTGGTTGTGCCCTGAAGATTCTGGTATCCATTTGCTTTCTCCATTCCCTGCCAATATGTGCAGAGGTTGACATAATACTTTTAAGATGTATGTCTGCAAGATAAAGACAAATCATCAGAGAAGTTTTACCCTTAATAGGGAGTGATGGGGTATTGATTTGATCAAACTGAACATTGATGTCATGGTTGCGGAGCCTTTTAGCAGGACGAGGAATGAACTTCATTTTCTTAGGACTTGTTTCCGGAGATAATGTGAGGCTTTCTCTGCAACCTGAACAGGATAATAACTTGTATAAAATTTCCAAGTCAAGGCATTATCACGAGTTTTTTGTCAAATTCAACTGCCGTTTGAACACCATTCAAGTCCGTTGTTACTTTTGACTCATAGATCTTATCAATGACAAACTTTGGAATTCGATCTTTTTGCTCCATAGTCGATGGCTTCTTAAAAACAAAAAAGTCAAAAGTTAACTGCTTATCAAATAAAACAACAAAATTCAAGGTTAAAAGCAATGACAAGCTACCCTGCAATGGGAGTAACGTACTAAAACTTCTCAGAGGTCAACAAACAAAAAAGACATCACCAAGGAATGCAATGTCTTTAAAAGTTCTAATTATTACATAGCAAACAAGTTTTACGTTGACAGCACCCTACTTCTAGCTTCTTACATCTTCCTCGCATGCTACCACAAAGAAGGTCAAGTAGAGAACTTTTTTTTTGGTGAGAACTTAACATGATTAAGGAAGTAGAAGTTCTATATCAATTCCTCATCGTGCAATTGAAATAAGCATCTGAAACAAAACATACGGTTATAATCATCAGTTATGGGAGAAACATCTTCAGAACTCTCCGAGTGCCCATCATCAGATGATGGTTCAGAGAGACTAGTTTCTGCATCTTCAGAGAGACGAGTTTCTGAATCGTTCTCTTCCATGTTTGGTGATGTTTTTCCCTTCAGAGAATCCTTAAGCTTCTTTGCAGCATCCTGAAGTTCAATAAGGAAGGGCAAAAGGCAAAACAAAAAGGCCCAAATCCAACTTAAAAAGAGAAACACTACAGAAATATCTTATAAGGACAATTAAATTACCCAAGGATACAGAAAATTTCCTGTGTGCATCGTCATCACTGTCTGATTTTTCTCTTTGCAGTGCCCTGAAACCACAAATTTCTCCCATACGGTCTACTTTCGGCGTTGATGCAAGGGAAGCACTTGATGCAGGTGTATTTATTCCTAGAGTTGGACTTGGGAGATCTTGTAGATTTACATCGTTCCTTACAGGTGGGCTATCAATGTCTTCTTGTTGATCTTGTAAGTTTACAGCATTCCTTACAAGTGGGCTAACAATGTGTTCTTGTTTCCTCGCAGACGGCACACCAAATTCTTCACGTTGGTCTATGTTTTCTGGACTGTCAAAATCCACGTGCTGATTATCTCTGTCGTTTATCCGTGGTGTATTGTAAGAACTCGCTTGTGGGATTTTCTTTTCTGGCTCAAGATGATCTCTCATTTTATTGCCAAATGAAGATGTTCTTTGAGCAGGAAGTAGTGTTTCACTCCCTTGAGTTACTTTCTGAATGACATCTGCCACATCCCTTTCGTGAAATAACCTACGTGGCTCAACTCTCGAATTATTTTTATCATTTTTCTGTTGTGTCGCCTTGGGGGAACTACTGCTGACAGCAGCATGTAGCCTTCTGGGAAATCCACCTTTGCAAGAGTGGATGTTCTTGTCTTGGCGCTTCAGTTTGTAACCAAAGAGCTGACCGCTCTTTGTAGTGTTCTTTTGTACCTTGGTTGGAGCCCTCTTCCGGGTCAGAGCACGAGTCACAGGTCTCCTGACTCTATTATCAGGAGAGTCGGACTCAGTTTCTATTGTATCAGAGTTCTGTCTAAGCTTGTATGGTTTATGACCCTTCTGACCAAGTTTCTGCTCTTGCTTATCAGAACCCCGTTTCGGCTTGAAAACTGCATCTCCCATCTGATCAACTTTTTTATCTCTCTTTGACATATTGGCACCAAACCCACGAGTTGGAGAGTTAGAATAATAATCATTGTCGGCCATCTGATCAAATTTCTTCTCTTGCTTATCAGAAATCCGTCTAGGCTTCACAACTGCCTCGTCCATCTTCTCAAATTCTTTATCCGGCTCTGCAGCATTGCCACCTAACTCATAGGTTGGAGACTTATTGGGTGATGAAACAGTGCCCAATATCTCCTGGAGCTTCAGTCTTAGAGTTTCAGTTCTTCCATTTTCTGTTGTATTCGTTTTGTCCTTTAACACTTCTTCATCTGGCCTCAGTACATCCTGCACCGTTGCAAAAGTGAACTCCTTCACGCTCTCTCTTCTTCCGTCCTTCCTTCCTTTCCTTTTGTAGGAAACCCCATTAAACTTATTCTGACTAACATCATCATCAGACTGTAAAGCTGAGGCATGCTTCGTGGAAAATGAACATGTTGCTGCTGCATCCTTGGCTCCGTCAAGTTCGCCCCGCCTCCCACTGGGTGCTAAATCAGGAACTCGTCCTGGACAAGGAACGGTCTCTGAAGTGATTACTTTTTGCCTGGTTGAAATCCATGGCGAGTTTGTCAGCTCTGTTGCTTCAGTTTGTTTTGTTTTCTTGGTTGCTGTCATTTCTACGATCTTGCCTTTTCCTTGCACCGAGTGGCTTGCATTCTTTACCCTTACAGCATTTAGCCCTGCAATGTCACCTTCCTTTGAAGCTTCAGATGGTTTCTTCGGTATCGAATCTACCATAACTCCGATTGAAATCTTTCTGGACTGGCTAGATGGATGATTAATACTGCCAAAACTCCAGCAATGGCGTGTTGGAACCTGAAATCATATTCAGCATTGTCAAAACTTAGAAATTATATACTGCTTTAATGGGGAGCTGGGTTCAATTTCTACTCTCGCACGTCAATGCCTTCACATAATCCGACAACGCATCGTGTTGAGGTTTTGATAAGTGCAAACAAAGAAAGAGTACAGAAATAAATAAAAAAAATTTAATGATGGAATCCATCTTTATAACTTATCTCACATGATTGGAAACAAAAGCCAACACCTATAAGCTAATCATAGCCATATACATCATAAGCAACCCAAACGACAACACAAACATATGACTCTTGAAATGTAATCGGTAACTATCAGAAGTTCAGTATTAGCTAGGATATAAAGATTGTTCCTACTTACATCTTGCAATTGTTGTGGGTCAACCTGCATCCTTGCGATATTGCTAGGCAAACCAAACCATCAATAACTCGTGGTGGCGTTAACCTGGACAGTCAGTGGGGAGGAAAAATTAGTATAAATCAACAAAAACTGGGAACAAAGAGAGAAATAAAGTAGTTCTGAAGCTCAATATTGTTTAAAACCAGCAATAATATGTATACACACACATACATATACCCAAACAAATAAACATATAAATACATATAGAGACACACACACACACACACATACACAAACGCACACACATATAGGATAATTTGATTACGGAAAAAAAAAGGACAAAAAATATTAAATCAGAATTAAAAAAATCATTAAATTTAATAATTCACTTCAATTTTATCAGCGACCAAACAATTGTGTTTGAAGAAAATCACGGACATTTGAATGATGCTATTAAGCTGTTTACCAAGATGAATTTCGGAGTATAATTTGCGTAATCGGAATTTCATAAACGACTGGGAAAAACCTCGTTATCACGATCTACTTTCGGTTAAAATATTTGCTCCTGTAGTTTGAACATCGAAGCGAAAATAGAAAAACAGAAAAACAAAAATCACCATGAATTGAATTCCTGGCACTCACAATCTGCCATGATTTCAGGCTCTAGATCTGAGAATGATCAGCAAATCTACCTCAAATTAAAATTTGAAAAAAAAAAAAAAAGAACGAAAAAAAAAGGATAAAAATCCTAGAGACAACTGAAGCATGTCAAGAGTAGAAGAACATCGAAAATAAAATCTAAGAAAATAACTGAAAGAGCACGAATCGAAATCCAAACAAATGACATGCAAAAAGAAAGAAACAGATGGATTGGGGAAAGAAAGATCAATGAAATGACTTACAGCTATACAACGGAGACGAATCGTCGGAGACGATGGATGAGCTCCGTTTACTTTGCTTGGGCGGGACTAAAACCTAGAGAGAGAGGAGATTCGAAATGAAAAATTTGCTGAAACTGAATTAAATTGGAAATGGAAGAAAAGAAAAAAAAAAAAAAAAGGCGCGAAATAAGAAGCTTATGTGACTTGCTTTCTCGAAACGGAATCGCGCCTCTGTACTCTGGTGTGCGCACTGCGCATACACTTTTAACTCAGATGATAGTACCATATTACCCCTGTAGCTTTTTCTTTTTTTATTTTCATTTTTAATTTTTTTGTGAAATTTTTTTATTTTTAATGTTGGTGAACAATTTATTACTATTTTCATTTTCTTATATATATTAAAAATCTTATCAGTATTTTTTTAGCTATAAAAAACCTGAATTTAAACCGTAATTAGCGCTATCACAATTTAATTGAAGAAAGAAGTCTCAACTAATTGTTCTAATAATAATAATAATAAGGAATCAAGTTCATATGTTCCGGTTGGATTGCTTTCATATGTTCCGGGGTATGGAGCTGTGGGTGGGTGTGCTTATCTCCTCTTTTGCGTTTTAGTAGATTAGTAATCAATTAGTTTTTGGTTTAATATTTGATAAGCTTCTACTTAGACAAGTTTTGTTGGAGTCTGTATCGGGAATTGGGGGGTGTTTTGTTAGAATCTTATTCGAATTACAAATTAGAATTTGGGTGTAGTTCTTGTTGATAATCAAAAGATCCATTCTTCCTATTCTCTTGATTCAATTCCCTTGTTCTTATCAATATTCTTAAAAGTAATCAAATATAATTGCTAGATTCACAACTACCTATAAGTTCAAATTGCCATATTCTTGACATTGCCCTATATGCAATTATGCCAGTATGGTAATGTAGAATTTTGATTTTCATTTTGATTTGGAACTCTGGACTAGCAGATTCGAGGCCCTAGGCCTCGTGCACTTTTATGTTGTGGCCGCAGAATTGGCCCTAGGCAGCCAGTATGGTAATATGTTGTGGCCGCATAATTGGCATGTAATGGAATATAGAGCCCCTTGGCAATCAGTAATGAAAATAATAATCTGACAAAGTTTCAGTCCACAATGGTCTAATACTAGCAGCCAAAGCTCTAACCACAAGCAATATATGACCTAATCCCAGCATGAATATATGAACATTTCTCCACGGAACAGTAAACCATGCGGTTTCAATATGTTGTGGCCGCATAAATGGCATGTAGGGGAATACAGAGCCCCTTGGCAATCAGTAATGGAAACAATAATCATGACAAAGTTTCAGTCCACAAGCCGAATACTAGCAGCCTATAGCAATGCACTGAGTAAACAAGCAATTCCAGTCCATTGTTCCTTTGCGGTATTTTTATCAAACATGTGGTAAGCAATCAAAAGCATTCATATTGGGCATAAAAGTTGCATGTGGAAACCATAATTGTGAATATAAGATGAGCTCTTGTGACATCCAGAAAGCATATATACCGATTCTCACATCCACCAACAGAGAAATCGTTGAAAGGAAAAGGTGAGAGAACTTACCGAATTCGACCCAGTGGATGAACGTGTGTGCGCCTCCACCAAGAACCCACGGCTAGATGAGCTCGGAATACCCCAATTTCTCCCTCGCCGACAGCGGTACCTTGAGATTCTCCACCGATGACGGCGATTTTGGGTTGGAGGTCGCCAGTTACAGACACATCTGCTCAGAACAATTGCCAACGGAGGTTTCCGATCGCAGATTTTACCACATAGTTCCTCCGTTTTGGGGGAAGTGAAGAAGACTGTTGAAAAGGTTCTACCCACATGCATAAACGAGAGATTTGGGTCAAAGTTCACCTGGGCTGATTCGAGAGCTTTATCTGCAATTTTCCATCGCTGTGGATGATGGGAAACGACAGAGAGAGCTTTCGGTGGAAAGAGGAGAGAAAACACAAGCAAGGCGCGAGGGAATCCCACAGGCTTTTGCCTGATGAGTTGTGCAGAGCAGATTTCAGTAGTGACAGGTTCGAAGTCACGGGGGTAGAATCACACGAGAGATCTGTAATTTTCCATCGCTGTGGATTATGGGAAACGACAGAGAGCTTTCGATAGGAAGAGGAGAGAAAAAAACACAGCAACGGTAACTTCTTGAGGGAATCAATAGGCTTTTGCCGAGTTGTGCAGAGCAGAAACACTGTAAAGTCAGGTTTGAGTTAATGGAATTCAAGCCTCCATTGAATTCGCTCAACTCGGATCACAATTCGAGTCAGAGTGGGGTAGTTGGTGTAATGAACATTGACTTGAGTTATTGGGCTGACTCAAATTAGGCTGATTCGAACCAAATCCATGAAACGAACACACCCTAGTATATTTGTGTGTACATAAATGAGTTTTGATTTATGAGAGGTACGTGTATTAAAGGGGTAGAAAGGTCCGTATAGAAATAATAAGTTGCGAGTAAGATGGATGAGTAACGAAAGGCTCACAGAAGTGTCCTTGGAATAGAGAGTAGGGGATCAGAACTCAGGAGTGAGAGGGGGAAGTGGGACCCATTGAAGAATCAAGATTGGGGCTTTGAATTGCAAAGAGATTGAGATAGAGATAGCAATTGCCAAAGTAGCATTGCAAATTATATTTGAATATTGATCGGATTTTGCAATATTGATGGTGAGGAATGAACTCCTGCATGATGATGAGTAGCTCCATTGCATTTGCAGCGGTGGACCTTCGTCCATCTTCCTTTGTACGCCCTTTCCCCTCCTTACCATCAGCATCAGCGAAATCCGTATCTCCCAAATTCCGATGCTCCATTGCCGACACGCTCCGCTCTCTGCCCAACCTCATCGACGGCCAGCCATCCAGAGTCGCCGACACCGTAATCGTCGGCGGCGGCATCAGCGGCCTCTGCATCGCCCAGGCACTCGCCACCAAGCACGCCGGCGTCGCTCCTAACCTCATTGTCACCGAGGCCGGCCCTGGAGTCGGCGGCAACATCACCACCGTCGAAAGGGACGGTTATCTTTGGGAGGAGGGCCCCAACAGTTTCCAGCCCTCTGATCCCATGCTCACCATGGCGGTAAAACCAATCTCCTAATTGATGATGATCATCATTATAGTTAAGGGATTTATTATTATTATTGTTAAGGAGTCTGTGTTTCTCTCTGTCTTAACAAATATCTAATCTCCTTGTTTGTTGTTGTTAATCTTAATTCTTAGGTGGATAGTGGATTGAAAGAAGAGCTGGTATTGGGGGATCCAAATGCACCTCGGTTTGTACTGTGGAATGGGAAGCTGAGACCAGTTCCTTCCAAACCCACTGATTTGCCTTTCTTTGATTTGATGAGCATCCCCGGCAAACTCAGGGCTGGTTTTGGTGCTCTTGGCATTCGCCCTTCTCCTCCTCCAGTTTGTCCCCTTTCCTTTTCCTTTTCCTTTGAATTATATAAGATTTTGATTCTCCACTCCTTTCTTGGCAATTGGCATGAAGAAGAAGAAGAAGATGAAAGAATTCTCATTTCTCATAAAATCTTGACAAAGGTGACAGGGACGCGAGGAATCAGTTGAAGAGTTTGTTCGCCGTAATCTTGGCGATGAGGTTTTTGAACGCTTGATTGAGCCTTTTTGTTCAGGTCAGGACAATCGATTCTACTTGTATCAATGTCATTGTCCTGTGCTCCGAGTAAATTTATGTTTCTTCTTTACTAATTTATTAAGGATTAAGATTTCTTAGTATATAATCGTGTCGGAGTTCTAAACGTACTAAGTTTCAATAAGTTGCCCAATTGCAGTTGCACTAATTTGGAAGGTTTCCAGTGCAATGCTATTGTTAGTTAGTATCTCTTTCTTAGTATTCTAAAATTGTTAACTTTTCTCTGTGGTGGTTGCATTGTTAATTGGACAATTTTTGTCACATCTAGGTGTTTATGCCGGTGATCCTTCAAAACTAAGCATGAAAGCAGCATTTGGGAAAGTCTGGAAGCTAGAGCAAACTGGAGGTAGTATCATAGGTGGAACTTTTAAAGCAATCCAAGAGAGAAATCAAGTTCCCAAGCCACCTCGAGATCCGTAAATACATATTTTGCGTTTTCCATTCAAGCTTATCTTATCTTGCTCGCTATTTTGATTACAAAGTTCATGTCCAATGCCCTAATTTCAGTCGTATTTTGTAGGCGTCTACCAAAACCAAAGGGCCAAACAGTTGGATCTTTCAGGAAGGGACTTGCTATGTTACCAAATGCAATTTCCACAGGGTATGCACCCTTTGTAACCCCTGCTTAGTGGTTCTCGATTCTGTGATTGTATTCTTCTGGGGCATTGCTATTTTATTTTAACAAGTCGCATTCTTTTATTTATTTATTTTGTCAGTTTGGGTAGCAAAGTGAAACTATCTTGGAAGCTTTCTAGTATTAGTCAGTTGGATAATGGAAGCTACAATTTGACATATGAAACGCCAGAAGGATCGGTTTCCCTACTGAGTAAAAGTGTTATCTTGACTGTTCCTTCCTACGTCGCAAGTAGTTTATTGCGTCCTCTATCTGTACGTTTCTTTCCTGAGTATTTCTTTTTCTTGGATATTTTTGCCTTTGGACATTTGGATGATTTTTGTTCTAGAATTAACAAAAATAAAAATCTTTCTCTCGTTTGTATTTGTCAGTTTAGGATGATATATCCAGTCATTTTGCTTCCCTCCTATTCGTTTTTTTCTTTTTCTTTTTTTGCAGGCGGCTGCTGCAGATTCACTGTCAAAATTTTATTACCCACCAGTAGCATCTGTGACGGTTTCATATCCGAAGGATGCAATTCGGACAGAATGCTTGATAGATGGGGAACTCAAGGGTTTTGGTCAATTGCATCCGCGCAGCCAAGGGGTTGAAATTTTAGGTGAATCTTCCATGGTTTTAAAACTGTAGTTGTACTGTGAGTTTATGCTTAATGTCAAGGATCTTCATTCTTCTCAAATTTTGCTTCGGGTTTTATTGTTTCTTTTTTTCAGGAACTATATACAGCTCATCTCTCTTTCCTGACCGGGCACCTACAGGAAGGGTACTGCTTCTAAACTACATTGGAGGGGCCACCAACCCTGGGATTTTGTCCAAGGTGAGAAACATCTTAAATGAGTTCTGATGTGATCCGATAGAGGTAGTTCATCATATTTAGTGGAACTTGATGGTAGTAGGTCTGGTGATATATTGAAGAGATAACATATTCAGATTTGTGGTTTTAATAAATTGTCGAGGAGGTATGACGGGGAAAAAATGTTGGTTAATGACATGACAAATTGATTAGGCTCTTGAAGACATGCCACTTATTCTGTACTTTGAATAAATGACCTTTCATTATAGTAATTCCAGCTTGAGATCTAACATGAAAATCTATGTTTATGTGTCGTTTGTGTATAGATTTGCTTGAAGAGTTCATATTTTTTGCCACCTTCTATTACTCTGTAGTCTGTTCAGCTTTTTGAAGGGTCGTTTATCTGTTGACAGACGGAGGATGAACTTGTGGAAGCAGTTGATAGGGACTTGAGAAAAGTCCTGATAAGACCCAACGCAGAGGATCCACTTGCACTGGGCGTGAAAGTGTGGCCACAAGCCATTCCACAATTCTTGATCGGGCATTTGGATACTCTTGATGCGGCCAAAGCTGCTCTGAGTGATGCGGGATTACAGGGGCTGTTTTTGGGTGGCAACTACGTATCAGGTGTGGCCTTGGGCCGATGCGTTGAGGGCGCTTATGATGTCGCAGCCGAGGTGGCAAGTTTTCTGTCGCAGTACTCATATAAATGATTAGTTTCGGATACTAGTTAACTCTTGCGTCGAAGTAAAACTTGAGGAAATCGTTTAGGTAGTCACATTTTTTGCATTCGTAGATGTAGATTCTCATTTGCATTAACTGAGGTCGTGACAGTGATTTTGAAATGTTGCTCATAATGCCAGTTTTGAAAATCCTACTTCCAAAATTTAGGGAACCTCCACAGAAACAGAAAGTTGAGAATTTTATAAGCGATGAGTTCTAAGCTAATATGGATAAACATTGTTGAAACGGAAAGGTGGAATACGAGACAACAGCTCTTTTTATACTAAATAAATAAAAATGGATTTGAGCAAATTTGATTGAAGCGATTTTGGTCTTTTGATCACGGGAGTGTTTCGAAGTGAGAGATGAGAGAGAGAGAGAAAGAGAGGTGGTAGTGCTACTTAGCATAGTTAGTAACGTACTAGGTAGCGCCGAAAGAGGTTTCTACTTTGTAAAAGCTTTTAACTTTAAAGGGAGGCGGGATTGTATATAAACGGACGTCAGAGAGATATTGATACAGAGAGAGAGAGAGAGAGAGAGAGAGAGAGTTGATTTGCTTCTTAATTCTTATTGATAGAAGGTTCTTCGACTACTAGGGTTTCTCGAAACAAGTTAGGGGATTGGGACTCGCACAGCATAGGCACAACACAACAAAATTTGCATTAGTTGGCAATTGGCATTGACAAAAGGACAGCAAAACAAAACAAGATTGCCGCAAATTAAAGTAGAAGAGTCCAAATTTGGTGTTGTAAATGTGGGGCCAGGTCACGCAGACATGTTTATATGCGAATGCTAAAAGCAGATCCTAGTTTGACCAATTTTTATATTACTTTTTTATTTTCTTTGGAAAAAAAAGAAAAAGTTTATTATAGAGAGAACAAGGGATGATCGGTTGGGAATCGGATGGGAGAAGTTGCTAGATATATCAATCAGTCACCACATATGTGAGCAGTATAGTAATAGTATGAATTTGATAATTTCACTACCTTTTATCACGTAACAATTACATTATTTACATTCTATTGTTATATGATAAATAATGATGAATACAGTTTTGCACATATATGTATAAAGAGGGATAATTGTTGAAGAGAAGGCCTTTTTCTTTAAGGTTTCAACAACAGAGAGAGAGAGAGAGAGAGAGAGAGAGAGAGAGAGAGAGAGAGAGGGTAGGTAGAGTGCAGCATAGCATGATGTAGGAGACCGGAAAACAGAGGATGGGTAATTGAAGCAACATCATGGTAGGGATGGTGGGGAACATCTTCTTTTCACGCTTCTAAATTCCGCTTTCTTACTCGCCCTCCCAGTTGCCGTTTCTTTAGGTCTATGCAATCTTTTCTTGTTCCCTTCCCTCCCCTTCCTTTAAAACTAGATAGATAGTAAGAGAGAGAGGTTTCTTTTATAAATTAAAAAAAAAAAAAAAAAGAGAGAAAGAAACCGAGAAGACGATCAATTTCTCATGGAATAGAGGCGGAAAAAAAAAAAAAAAAAAAGAGGCAATGCAAGGTACACGTGGGGAAGCAAGAGGTTGAATGAATTGGGATTTAAGATTGTGAGTGCACTTTTTGTTTGTGGCCATAATTATTAAAGTTGATTGCTTGTCTCCAAAACTGGAGGTGTGTGAGGATACATGTTTAGTAGTTTTTTTTTTTTTTTGATAAAAATGTTTAGCAGATTTGCGTGTAACATGCAACGACTAAAGAAGCCAAGGCACAATATTTATTATTCATTTCTCTCTCTCTCTCTCCATCTATGACTGTGTCCAAAAATAAAAATAAAAATAAAAAAAATCGCATTAGTCCAATGAAACACCAATTTTAAATGTAAGTGTACATATGTTATGCTCGAGAGAATAAAAAAATAAATACATACTTATGTTATGATAAAGTTATGTTGTTACATGTATAATATACATGTATTATAAACAATAATTGATTATTATATAATAGGGAAGGGATAGGGGGGGTGTAAGTTTCTCTAAAACCCAAAACCCCCGTGCATGCATGCGCAACACGATAATTATATGCATTGAACATCGATTTGGAAACGGAAACAATTAGACATGTGGCAGCCCTGTTTTAAAATATTTTGTTCCTCCCTATGTGAAATGTGAAATGTAAAATGTAAAATGTGTGATCCGCACATCGATGCTTTTGTATCCAAAAAACACAAAGGGCAATGGCTAATGAGCACACACACTATTTATGCACACAAACAAAACTATAGTCTACATTCATTTAATTGACCTGATGACATTACGCACCCTCTGTTACCAATATATATCCCCAACGCCTTGTCCATTAATCAAATTATTTTATACCTATATATATATAGATGAGTTTGTAATATATGTGTGAGTGTGAGTTTCTAATATTGGAGATCAAATAATCGTACGTGCATGTTTGAATTAATTGTTTTGTTGAGTTAAAAAAAAAAAAAGTAGAGCTTTCTTAAAAGCATTGTGAGCTATAATACTAGTAGTGTTGGTGTTTGTGTTGCTTTTTAAAAGTAACAGCCAGCCAGCGTCCGAGTGTCGGTTAACTTTGTTTAAATTTGTTGCCGCAGTAGGTACGTACATTTTACAAACAAGGTTAAAAGCATTTTTTGTTCACGCCCCAAAAAAAAAAAAAAAAAAAAGATTAAAAAAAAAGTCATTGACATGAGCACCAAATCTCAAGCAAATCATTGTTCTACATGTTGGACTGTACCCATATCTAGCATACAATTTCTTTTTTCTTCTTTTCCTTTTTTTTTTTTTTTGTTCCTTTTGAATTTGTAATTATGGTTGATTATTATCTTTTTCACATGAAGGAACCACATTGCACATTTGCATCCAATCCAACTTACACAAGTCCAATTAGTAGCAGGAAAACTTTAATAATGAGCATTAATTTAATTAATGTCAAGAAATTAATTAACACGTGCCATTGTCGGTTGAACCGACAACATTTGAAGGGGAGCAGTAATGTGAAGAAGATGCCTCCTGAACTCGAAACACAAATTCAGATTTGGCTTTGTGTTTGTCTCCGAACTCTAAAAAAAAAAAAAAAAAAAAAGGCCTTCATCTCATGACTCCTGACTTCTGACCACCTGTTGGCTGCTGCTTCTGCTTTGCTTATTTAGAAGGACGAGGTGGCGGCTCTCTTTGTCTTTGTCCTCCTCCTCAATCCTCTTCTTCTTCTTCTTCTTCTTCTTCTTATGAATATGATGAATGCCTCTACTCTCTCTAACTAACTAAAAACGAACAACAAACGACACAATGGGCAGATCAGCAAGAGGTGCTTCTACCTCTTCTTCTTCTTCATCATCCTCAATCGGTATTGGTATTGGTATTGGTCATGAAAGTAGTAGCAACAATTCCCACTTCAACAGAAGAGATCTCGGCACAGATCTTAACCTTGGTCTCAGCATTTCAGCCTCCTCTCAACAACACACAAGCTTAATTAACCATTCCATGATTCCGAGGTATTCATTTACATGTTGTTGATCCTGCAATTCATGATATTATGATGGCTGGCAGGTAGAACATTTCAGTTAGTCTTTAGGATCTGTTAATTGTGGTTTTCTTTATCCCTCTTCCATATAAATATATAATTCATACATACCTCCTAATTAACCCTTCTTCACCAAGAAGGTTCATTTTTATTTATTTATTTATTTTTTTAATAGATATTCCTTTCTACTCTGAATTAATAATGTTCCGGTTTTCACGAGTTTTTGGTTCCCTCTAATGAACCATATTATATGATCACTCTGCTTAATAATATTATTTTCTCATGCATCAAATCTCGCAATATTGAACTGAACATATCATGTTAATATTATAGGGAACAAATGCAATATTCATTATCAGATCACAGTTGGCCGTCAACGACCATTAATCCAACGGTGGGAGATGGAAGTGATATTAATCAAGAGTACTACTGCAATGGGAGTAATGGGAATAGGCTGTACGTGAAGGTATACATGGAAGGGCATCCCATCGGCAGAAAGCTTGATATATTGGCCCACCATGGTTACCACGACCTCATTACCACTCTTGACCATATGTTCAACACTAACATTCTTTGTAAGTCGTATGCTTATTCTTCCTTATCCTTATTGCTAATTGGCTGCTAATTAATTAATTAACCATACATGTATTTTATGTTGTTCACTTCTTCAGTCACAACAATGTTAATAGCTATTTATGGGATTGATTGGACAGAGAGAAGCTCAATTAAAATTAGTTTTATTTGAATCAATTAATGTGGATACCTGTGAATGAAACAGGGGGTGCGGATGTGGATGCAGAGAAGTGCGACGACTTTCAAATATTAACCTATGAAGACGAGGAAGGGGATTGGTTGATGGTTGGAGACGTTCCTTGGGAGTAAGTTTCTTTCTTTCTTTTCTTTTTTTTTTCTTTTTTTAACTGCAATATTCATACACACACACACACACACATAAATATATGATTCTCTTGACCACTCAATTTTCTAAATATACGTAATATATGTTTAATATTTTGCAGGATGTTCCTGTCTGCTGTTAAGAGATTAAAGATCTCGAGGGCATGCCCATGCTGATTTTTGTTGGAATATGGTTGCGGACTCGAATGTACATCCTTACATGAATATGTTCCCATCACGTAGAGGAATCAAATATTTAGACATACCTTAGCTCTCTAGTACTCCTGTAAAGGAAACGAAAAGAACTTTAATCTTAATGAAAACGATTTACCAGCTTCTTGTTTACAACTGTTGATAATTCCTATTTTTGGCGTATGTTCCACAATCCTAATTTTTTTCACTAATCATCTAACAAGTAACATAGTTGAAGAGTTTATAGTCTCTGATTTGAGATTGGAGTTCATCAATTGTGTGTTTACCTTGTTTAATACACTAATTATCCGCACCAAAAAAAAAAAAAAACCTCACGGCATTTTATAAGTTATTGGACTTATGTCTTTAAAGATTGACATATTTAAGTAGGATGGTCTAATATTCTTATATGACTATGATTATATTTGTATTTAAACGATATGAAACTTAAATATTTTTACCTTTAATATACCTCCGCAAGATGGTGTTCCGTCAGGAATCACCAATTTTATATTTTTTTATAGATCAATTCAACTCATTTGAACAATGATCTCTTATATTATGTTAATTTATTATTCTATTCTAAAAATTTAAACTATTAAAAAGTGAGTTAATAATAATTTTATATTCTTATAATTATTTCGTATAATAAGAAACTTTGCTCAATTTGGACATCAGGAAAAGTATATCGAAATAATTTGTAGTGTAGGAAGAAAAAAAAGAAGCTTTTTTCCTTTGGCAGGCGTGTTAAATGTCTATCTACCTATAAAAAGCAACTAACACTAACATGTAAGTTATTGTCCTGATAAAAAATTACATTATAAAAGTTAAAAATAAAAATAAAAAAATAATTAAAAAAAAAAACCTTACTTATAAGTAAATGACTAAATTCTCAAAAGTTTGGATAGAGAAAAAGAACCGAGTCAAAAGAAGAATCTCTTCCACAGTCGAACCAATGAGAGACCAACACGTGTAGACTAAAACAAACTAACTACTAAACTGAACATCGGAGTATATTAACTATCAGTTGTTATTTGGTGGGAAAAAAAAAATACAAGTTGTTATTAACAAACGAATACGTAACTACAATCCCAATCTACTCTTCAACAAGAACAAACAATAATTAACAAATTAAGAGGACATTTGATTTATATATTCAGAATCATGATTCAAAATCATTCTTATTTTACGTGTATTTTTTATGAGAAAAAATATTATAAAGAATCATGAATCATAATTTAAAATTTGAGATTTATATAGGAAAGAAACGTCCCTTAATGATCTCTTCTACAATATCAAACCACGAAAAAAAACCCTTCCTAAAATCTCTCATGAATTAATTAAATTGTACTTTTCAATTATTGCTTTTTATACCCTCACTATTTTTTTAAAAGAATAAAAAAAGGCTTATTATAGTGACATCGATTATATTTTCTTAAAATTACAGTGACATCTCTTGTCTGAATTTAATAACAGTAATATTTCTTATCTAAAACTCCATTAAATTTTAATGAAAAATATCAAAACTACCCCTATGTTAAATTTGTTTTTTTCTTCTTTTTTATTTGATTTTTTTTATAATAAAAAATTGTGTTAGGGTGTGTTGTAATATTTTTTAAAGAGTTAACGTAAAAATATGTTAAAAATTAATGCATTTAATTTTTTTATTATATTTTTTGTCATTCATGTTTTAAGTTTAATTTAAACCATTTTTGTTTTAGATAAAATTGTCCAATTTAATTTATTCTTTCAATTAAATTAATTTTCATTGTAATATAGTTGGTCCTCATAATGTACTAAATATTACATGGTTTTTAATTTAATACGCTAGTTTAGTGGAGGGAGAACATTACTAAAACAAAAGATTTTTAGAAAAAAAAATGGAAAAAATATTTGTTTTTATCCCTCGTCATCCTCCCTCTTTCCTTCGTAATTAATTTTTGTGCGTTCTTTCTCCATTGACCCTTTCCTATAGGTTAGTAATCACTCCACCAAATAATTTACACGTATTTTATTCTTAAAACCTTCAGAAAAAAAGTCAGATAATCATAAAGTAATTGAGCAGTAGAAACACTAAGAAAATGGCATAATTAAGGGGGGGGAGGAAGTTGACCAAGGCAGGTTTACACTAGATCGTAGTCGGATTCATGACACATTTTAATCTATTTCATTGGCAGACAAGCAAGTTAACTAGACAATTAAGATCACATTAATGCAGGGCAACAGAACTCAAGTAAAAAGAGGTCTTACGTATTATTGTTTTTTTCTTTGACTTTGACATAAGTAAAGAAACAAGTATGAGATCAACTAAAAAGGTTTCTGATTTTCACAATCTAAATTAGGTCCGGTGTCAACATTGAGGAGGCCAGCATATCTTCGGAAGTAACCAATCCGATCGTTGACACGTGCGTCGTTGGGAATCCCGCACTCGAGACCGCCGTTGATGATGTTGGTGACCAGCCCATAGCCGGCCGTGCGGTTAGCCGCCACATCATCCCGTGTCGGAACATATTCCCCCACCATGACCTGGTGGCAAGACGGCTTCGGCCTCCGCGGCGTCATCCAAAACCAAATGGCCGTCTTGAAGGCCACCACCGAGTCATTCGCCACCACTTCCGGGCTCCCGAGGCCGTCGAAGTGCAGGGCCTCGCCGGCTGGGCCGTAGTTGTAGTTCCAGGAGAGCTGAATCGGGCCTCGGCCCTTGTAGGACTTTCCGGGGGAGCAGGGCCACTGGGTGTTGGAGGAGTCGCAGTAGTCGCTCTGTGGGCTAATCTCCTCCTTAAAACAGAGGCCCCACGAGTAGGGCCCATCAGGGGCGGTGGGCCAGCCGCCGGTGGTCTCGTGGGAGATCTGGGCGAGAAAGGCGGCGATCTCGCGCTTGCGGGTAGAGAGGCTTCCTGTGGAGGCGAATCTGGGGAAGCATTTGGTGGCGGTGATGAAAGCGTCGTAGGTGTAGAAGGTGTTGGCGGGGCAGGCAGAGTCGTCCTTGTGGAGGAAGAAAGTGTTGAAAAGTTGTTCGGAGATCAATCTGGCAGTGGGAGATGACGATGATCTTGTTCCCGTTCCCATTCCCGGCCATGCAAGACACGACAAAATAGTTAGAGTTATAAGACACAAGACACGTACACATGATCTTTTTGATGATGCCATTTTGTGGATCATGATCATGTTCATGTCAAAATGTTGCTACTTCCTTAATTGTTTGCCTTATAAGTTATATGTATATATACACACAACAATAACTCATGAGATGAGTGCAAGTTGATATTTGATCG